AGAAAAGTATAGTGTGAGTAAATATCTGATATCTGCTTGTCTGACGATTTCAAAAATGTATGATGTGAGTAAATATCTCATATGTCATATTCCAGTCTTTTTCACAATTAGCCATACTTTCAAAAATTGAAAATTTGAAAATTAAAGAATTTTGAAATTTCGAAATATTGACATGCAGATTTCAAAATTGGTAATAATTTGAGATTTGGCACTCCTTGAACTATTAAGTCAAGTTTTTTTAGAATTTATGAAAGAGAAAAACTAAGACAAACTTCAAATAAAAAATTCATAGCATTTGTGTATGCTGGACAAGTCGCTGGTAAGTTCTAAGAGAAGTTTTTCCATTATGTCTCAGTATTTGCATTAGTTTAAGAAAAGAAGAAATCTACTATTTTTATTTTTTTCGGCACTAGTAAAAGTACGGATTTTAATTGAATTGGACCAAACTTTTTTTTTTCTAAAAAAAGAATCGTCTTGTTACTTTTTCAACAGATAAAAGTCATTTGATAGAAAGAATTATACTGTTTAGAGTATTTGCAATCTACTCCGATAAGCTCTTCCGAGTTGATCTTCCAATTCGTCTCCTTCCTTTTCTCCCTGTCAACCTACATACAAGTATCAAATAAGGACTGGTTGAAAAATGATAGAAACTTTTTCGTTTTTCAAAATCTGCTTATGGTTTGTAGAATTAATCTATTTTTATCGTTAATATTTATCATTTTCGTATAATCTGCACTTCTGACATTTGATTTTTTCCTTGCGCACAGACGATGTTTTTTACCGACTAAAAAAACTGTGAAAATCGCCCGGAGACGGATCGAGCTAATCCAGATTTCTCGAGTTTGATGCGAAGCGTTTTCCATACATCAAAAATTTTCTTTTTTGTGTTTATTTTTTCTAAAGGTAAAATGCATGTAAAACGTGCTAGTGAATATGGTGACATTAAAACATTAAATCAAGCAGTGCAATTACTCGATAATGAAAAATATAAATCTACACATCCTATACATCATCGTGCATCAACAGGTCAAACAAATACAGTGACAATATGTACATCTGTTATTGATTTCAAAAAATCAATGCTCTATGTTTATGATGATAATCCAGCATTGACAACAAGTTCATCTTTTTTTGAATTTGGTTTAAATAGTTTATAGTTAGAAAGAAAATTTGACATGTACCTTTTTTTTGTTGAATAATAAAATTTTTCTTGGGTGCAAAAGGAAGTTGGAGAGAAATCTTTTTGATTACAGTAAAGCGATATTTCTATTCAATAGGAAATAAGAAAATATCAATAGAGACTTAGAAGTTTCTTAAAAACTAAAGCAAATAGAAGAACCGTTAGAATTGTTTTGAAAACGTTTTTCAATATCTATTTTAGTTTTCGTTGACTGGTATTTCATACCATTTTCTTTTTCAAAAGATATATCCAATTATCAAAAACTTTGTAAAGAAAAGAGTGAGTGTTTCAAACCTTCAATATGAAATATAAATATGAATTGGTAGGATAAGTTTATTTCGCTCTCCAATTATTCTAGAAGAGGCACAGAATTTGTAATCGCTTATCGGCTATCCACATATGTAAAAGACAATTCACAGTATGTTTTAGCTAACACGAAAGACTAACTGAGCTATTTGTTTGATTTTAACTACTCAGGAATTACATGTACTATCGTATGTACACATCTGTCAGGAGGATAGGAGTTTTGAGAATAAGGAGTGAGTATTACGCTTAAGGATATGGATGAAAAGAACACTTAGACGTACACCCGAATAAGTAATTTCAGCATTATAGGTATCCTAGTCAAAGCTCTAAGTGATTATTCTTATATACAATTCGATACATCTTCATTTCATCTTTCGAATACTAAAAACCATAACTCTCTACGTTGTTTTCTTCAAAATTTACTCAAAAAAAATATTCATTCGACTATATTTTTCTAAATAGGCAATAGTGTAATCGTCAAATATCATAGAAAAACAGAGCGTCATTTTTATCATTAGTTCATATGAAGACAATGTTTCTTTAAGCTTTTAATAAGTAATTAAAGTAGATTCCTCACTACTTTGGATCTAGTCTCAATATAATATTCAAGATTGACAACATGCTTTAACTATAGTAATCAAATATATGATATATATATTTATTGAATTTTCTTAAATATTTTTATTTTAAATTAAATAATTAATAGTGTCAAAGATTTATAAAAGAAAAGAATTCATTTCAATATATAATAATTGATTTTAAAGAAAATCTTGTTATTATCAAATGAATAGATTTTATATAAAAGAAATATCATATCAAATAAAACTACATGATGTATTCATATTCGTTCTCATTACTAAGAAGAAAAGAATAGCAGTGTAACTAGAATTCAATTGAGAATGTTATTAATATTAATCAGATTTAAATAGAAATATTAATATTCTAATTCATTTTTTTTTCTTTGACGAGAATTTTTTTTTATTGTTAGAAAAAGAAAAAAAAACACTTTCAAATTCTATTCAAAAATAACTAAAAGCATTTGTGAACATTGACAAAAAACATATATATATATAAAATAAGGCGACTATGTTATCATTAAATATTTTGTTGAATATTGCTCAAAAAATGTTGATTCAATATTGTTATTTGGCAATATTTATATTGGGTACAATTGGTTCTTTAATGAATATTTTTCTCTTTTCACGACGTCGATTACAATCAAATTCATGTTGCACATGTAAGTTATTCAATGAAAACTTTTATATAATATTATTTTACTTTACATTGTATTCTCTAAAAGATTTTTTCACATCATCAATATGTGCATTAGTCTTACTTGCAATAGGTATTCTACCACAAATTTATACTCTTTATAATTCTTCAAATCCATTTAGTACAATTTTAAGTTTTTGTAAAATTCGATCATATTTAAATCAAGTAAGTGCTATGTCATGTCGTTGGTTATTAGTTATGGCTTGTATTAATCGATGTATAATATGTTCAAATAATCCTTATATTCATCATTTATCTTCTATATTTATAACACGAAGAATAATCATTATTATAATTAGTATTTGGTTAATATTACCAATTCATATGCTTATTTATAGTAATATTCAATCATTAGGAAATATTGAATGTTCAATAAATAATAATAATATTGCTATTTATCATCGATTTTATACAATAATAATGGGTTGTATATTACCATCTATAATTGCTTTTATATGTTGTTTATTTATATGGAAAAATCTTCAAGAAAGAAGACGACGTCGTCAAATAATTATTTTTAATAATGAAATAAATCGACGAAAACAAAAACGAGATCAACAAATATTATTTATGTTATTAATACAAGTAGGAATATTTTTGATATCTACAATGCCATTTATGTCATTCAATATTTATAATACAATGACACAATCTATAAACAATAAATCAATAGATCGTAAAGCTCTTGAAGCTTTTTTGAAAACTTTAACTGAATTTTTTATTTATTTAATAACAATGTCATTTTATTCGAATACATTAGTATCAAGAACATTTAGAAAAGAATTACTTAAATTATTCAAATGTATTATCATTCGTAGTCGTTAATGAAATGTTTTAAGAATTATTCCATTGAATATCTTGATGTTAATAATAATATACGACTTCTAATGACGACAAATAGAACAATCAAATCATCAATGTCTTAAGTCTTTGAAATAAATATCAAGCAATAAAAAAACTCGTTTATATCATATTAATAATAATACGAACAATAAATCGACGATCATAACACATTTGAACACTAATTAGTTTATAGTTACTTTCTTTTGTAAAATAAGTCTATCACGTTAGTCTTATAAAATATTTATTATTTCGTTGAGTGACTAAGAGATTGTCAATTACACAAAAGACAAAAAAAAAACAATGAAAGAAGTTAAAAATCAATTAATTATTAACCTTCTTTTTTTCAAGCTATTGTATTCAATTCGAAGACATGTTACAAAATTGTTTTCCTTGTCTGTTACGTACCAAAGTGAGTTACTTGAGATTCTTTTTGTATAACATGATCTAAAATGAGTGTTCAAGTGTATAGGGGTAAAAATTTGGACCCATCTCTCACACAGGCCATGACAGACGACTTTTAGGGATCAATCAGAGACTGTAACACACCTTTTTGATATATGAATAGCAGATCATATATCACTAACATCTCATGAGACCGTATGAACTGCTTCCTTATAATAGTTCAAAAGGATTATATAAAAAAATGGATCTCAAGATAGATTGAATAAAACAATATTATCGTGATTAGTTACAACGGTTGTATTGTGTTTCATATTTTAATCCTGCAGGGTTGACAGTAACAGATGTTTTTTTACTTTTTATGTAATAGACAAACGCATGACAACTGTAACAGTAAACAACTTGAGTTTGTACAACATATAGCAAGAAAATGAGTACTTGGATGCATCGATTATGTTCAAAAGATTTTTTATCTATGTCATACAAACGAATATCGACAAGCATTAAGCAAATTAATCGATGAAGATATTATTTTTTTTCACGATCAGCTTCAACAATGTTTCGATGAATCAATGAAAAAAACCTAATAGTCATAAATTATTAAATATTATCAATAAATATAAAGACAAGTTAATAAACATTTTAAAGTGTTTTATATATGAATTAAAGAAAGTTCGTGATGATGATGACCGATTTTCTTAAATAGATTTGAACAAATATAAACCAGATTTGATCAAACTACAAACAATTGATATAGATTATGATAATAATATGGTGTTATTTAGATCAAATATGTCACTAAGGATGTACGGATGTACTCAGTGAAAAATAATCATGAGAAAATCAATTATTTTTGATAACATATGTCGAAACTTTGATTTTTTGCACGGATCTTCCACTTGCCCAGAAAAAGACGATTGAGATTGATTAAAATTAAAAAAAAATCATACGAAAAAAATAATTTATTTCATCGATTATTTCTAATTCATTTGTGTGTAATGTAATTTTCATCGCTAGTCGATTTCAATCTTTGTAACCGATTAAATTTTCAATTGATGCAAATCGAATCGATACATATTTGATTGATTATTCATGATTAGCTTAACTGGAATACGATTTTCATTGATAATCAATTTCAGTCTGCTCGATCGATTTAAGTTGCAATAGAGAAGAAACAAATTCTAGATTTTGGTTTTAATTATTAATCGATTTTCAAAGTGTTTAGCAAATCTTAGTAACGGTCTATATAGAACCAAAGCATTTGGATTAATACGAGAAAGTTTGGGTGGAATATTAATTTTCACTGAGTGGGCGTGAACGTGTCCTTATAGAAGATCCACACCCTTTAAGGAATCCAAGTTTCGTGAAAAACTCCATTCGTAGAATATTCGTGTCACGCATTTTTAAGATTGAGTAAAAGGAAGTATGACGTATAGTAAACAATCAGAAAACGACTTTTTCCTTCGAATATAACAAATTAATATAGTATTCGTTTTTACCAGAACTGCGCAAATGTAACTTATTCATCATTTGTTCCTTTTTTCTTTCACAAGTGACGCATTTGTTAATTCCTACTATATCTTAAAGAACCGTATAAATATATCACAAACCCCAACAATTTGTCTATAGTCTAATTCAATCGAAATGATGTCATCGTTATTTTTATATTGTATTCTTCTTTGGTCAATTGTTGGGATTTTCGGTTCACCCACCAACTCACTAAAAGATCAAGGGCGTGCTTTGTATCAATTTGGAAGAATGATCAGTCATATTACTGATCGTAATCCGCTTGATTATAATGGTTATGGATGTCAGTAAGTGAAATGTCTCTTATTTTCTTCCGAAATAACTGTAGTTCAATGAGTCTGTCCTATTTTCTAGCTGTGGTTTGGGTAGTAAAGGTTCCAAGGTAGTTGATGCTACTGATCAATGTTGTGTTGCTCATGATTATTGTTACAATAGTGCATGGTACGATTATGATTTTGTTACAAACGATATTCTATGTACTGATGAATTAGGAACAGTTGATCGTGCAGCATGTGAATGTGATAGGCAAGCAGCATTGTGCTTTCGCTCCTCACCTTATAACCCAGCTTATAAGGACTACCCAGCAAATCAATGTTAAAATTATTCTTTATTTCTTTTTTGTTTGTTCTCGTTCAAATAAAATTGAATTTTGTTGAAGCTTTGTATTCACTACAATACAGGATGTGGGTGTATATTAAATAAATACTCTTACCCTCAATCTTCAATGTGTGAGCTGTTCTAATCGAATTGTAGAAGTATTCTGAAAAGCCTAGCAAGGAAAAAAAGACACATTTTGGTATTTTAACATCTTAAATATCCACACCATATATTAAAGTACAGGAATACAAAAGCTACTTTTCCTTATTGTACTTTGTTCTCCTCAGATTTTGAAATGGCAAAGTATTTGAATCTCAAAGCAGAATGTTGCGATTTGATACATGCTTATCTATATTTTATGCGAAGTGTTGGATATCTTTGACTATATTGAAACTTTATACCACAAATTGTATTTGAAATGGTTCATATGACATTTATAAATGTTATTTGCGGCTAATGATATTCCGATAAAAAAGGCGAGCGCCTTGACACCAAGCATATACAGTGTCATTTTACAAAACAATGTTGAGTAATCACAATCTGAGATGAGGGTGTGGTTGTGTTAGTGTGGGTTATATTTAAATATACACATAAGTTACTGATAATTTAGATTTATCTTAAATTAACAGAAACATGACACCCGTATCCACACTTGCAGCGAAATATCGTTTTAGCTATTCTAGTAAAAACACATATTTTGACAAACAGCATTGTTAAAATATCGACGACAAAATCATTTCAAATTGACAATACAAATAAACAAAAGGGCCAGAATAATTTTAAAAGATACACCAATTGGAGTTATCCCTATGTTCGTAGTCCAGGATCTCGTTCTTCCATTTTTATCTGTAATCTTGTGTTTGAATAAAATATGTTTCACTTCATTGACTGTTTCTGCTGTATTACACAAACGTCGACTACATCGTACATAAAGTCTCGCACCAACTCCTTCGTCATTGACAATAATATTTACGGTAGGATTAATATATTCTTGAGGACACGAGAGTGCGTTTGTCTCATCACTGATCTGATTATGTTCCAAAAAGCAAAGTTTATCTGGAGTTGAACATTGATCTGTTGTTCGATTACCATCATAACATGTAAGTTCTTGGTTTGTATCAGTACGACTAAGAAGACTATCAAAATCGTTGAGAATGTAAGTAACATCATATGCCTTTTCTTTCATTTCAATCATTTTCTTCTCGGCAAATATTCGAGCACAATCATCAGAGTGATTACATCCATGTGCGATTTGATAAAAAAAATGTTTTGTTCTATTCGGTTCGATACGAATAAAATCTTGGTCAGATGATGTGTCAGTTTCAAGAAACGTTGTCACTTCATTGAGATGAAAGAAAAATTGCATTTTGACATAACAACGATATGCATTTTCCACTGGACGACCACATGAATGTCCAAAACCATTGAATGGTTGACTTATATTGAAAGTTTGTTCACAATTATGCGTACATATAAGACTAGCAGAAGTATGGAAGATTAGTATAAGTAATAGAGGTGGCACTTGCGTTTGCATTGTTATTCTGGTTGTTCTTTTTCTTTCTCAATCTACTGCGTTTTTATAGTCTTATCATTGCTAAGTGATACTAAGAAAATATTATGAATATGTTTGAATGCTGTCGTCAAATAGATATGAGTCATTTCTCATGCTGTAATGAAGTAGAGATATTTCACATGGCAACTAGCACATGATGAAAATAACAGAATCGTATTATTTCACAAAAGAGAGTTGATTTGTGCGTAGAAATATTAATTCCTTTTATCAGCAAGACGAAGGTCGAAAGAGAATAGCAATTGCGCAATCTCTTTTGAATGGGGTGTAGAGTGTGAATTTGGCTGAAGAGTTGACATTCATCCACACCCACACCCTTAGCAAGCTGCTTGTAGAAGTGTTTGTAACAGCATTTCAACTTATTACCAGCGAAACTCATTAAAATTTTCGGATACCAAATTGTAGTTTTCAGAGGCATTTACTACGAGTGAGGATCTAATCATATAACTCTTGAATAATTTCCACCAAGTCATACTTATCGCTCGAAGATGATACCTAATATTTAATAAGATGAAAGTTCTAGCCCAATGACTAAAGGCAATCATAGAATGCATTCAGCACTTACAAGCATGCTTATGACTCGTTTCAGACAGAGATCAAGTTCATAACGAACAAATAAAATTTTTATCCGACTCAGCATGATCGAAACCTTGATTGGAAATTCTCAAAGAACTTGTCAAAATAATTTGTAATACACCATTCAATGCATCTTAAGCTCTTTTCGTCAACACTAAAAATTGTAGATATCTATTGTATTTCTATCAAAAGTTATTGAAAAAAACACTCACGGATTTTCGTTTTTGAAATGGATATTATTCGTGGCTCTGTTTTCAATGAACCACATCCACTGCCACACCCTCAATTTTCTTCTAGAAAAATTGATTTTAATCTTTACGACTTCAAGTCTCAATAAGAACCGTCACTATTATTGAAATTACTCTCGATGACTCTGTCACTCTAACTCAATTGTACTTTTTCTTCCATCGGGTGTTATCCTATGAGTTCACATAACAACACATAGATATATTTGCATGCGTTTCTTGTTCTAATTTTTTTTTCTGAACTTTTTCTTACATATCTTTTCTCAATTCTATTCGAAGTCTTCCCGAGCAGACAAACTTTTGAGAAAACGCGTTTAAACGCAAACCGATTTTCGACCGTGTCTCGCTGCTAATCGCGGTTCCCGATTGTGATCCAGTAACAGCTCATAATACTCGGTGTTAAAACGATCACTTTCGTTGATTCACTGAATTAAATGGTGTTTAAACTCTAAGAAAAACATGACATTTATTCGTTTAATAATTTCACAAGTTATTAACCCACAATCGGGAACCGCGATTGTCAGCCATAAACGGTTGAAACTGATGGCCGTTTTACGCAAAAATTTTGCCTGAGCGTTTATCGCAATCGATCTAAAAACGTGCCTCGCTTCGAAAAACGCTTCTGGTTTTTCAGCATTTCCACATTCATTTTTAGAAAACGATATTAACCCATAATCGAGGACCGCGATTAGCATCCGCTAACTTGCAGAATACTTCGACGCTAACACGAGCACTTCTAGACGATCCATTTTTGAACGAAATACTTACCTGTTTAAACGAATGATCTCTGCAACGCATTTCTGATTTACTACTCATGAATGTTTCTGAGGTACACTCAGAGAGTGCCATCTAGGTATGCACTAAATCCTGTTCTTAGATGATAAAGATGGCTCATTTGCGATTTGAAGAATCGACAGTTCCTATCAAATCTTTGGGTGGTATCTATTCAAATTTTATCTTTCTTTCTAATAATGTTCGTAGACCTGTCAAATCCGATTAAAAAAGGGGCAGGATTCGACCAAAAAACATGAAATTCAGGCCGAATCCTGCACCTATTTTACTCGGACTTGACAGGTCTACGACCATTTTTAGAAAGAAAGATAAAATTTGAATAGATACCACTCAAAGATTTGATGGGAACTGAGGGTTCTTCAAATCGCAAATGAGTCATCCTTTTCATCTAAGAACGGGATTTAGTGCATGCCTAGTGCAATTAGGACTCCATTGCAGACAAAAAGCGTGGATAGTGACAAACATTTCTACTACTGTACGACCCTAACCCAAAGCACTCAAACAATTTGCTTTTGAAAAAATTTTCAGCTTTGTATCTTACGAGGAAACCTCACGAAGTGATAAACTACTTTTAAAATGAGACTTCACTTATTATCTAGGTTCTTTTGAGACTAGAAAATTCCTAGAATCATTCGTATCCATTGATATTTCCTTTCAATTCACAGTCATTTTACTGTGTTTATAACCTGTTGTAGAGCGCTGGAGGCAAAATTGAAAGAATGCGTTCTGATCTGGATTCTTGCCCATAGATAGCTCTCATAATAGGTAGAATGCACCGAAAGTGTTAGTGAAAGATAGTGTTTCCTCCCTGAGATAATAGGTTTCAAAACATCTGGTCTTTTTTGATTCTCCGCTTAAATATGTGCTTTTTTATAAGACCAGTATCTCGGAAACGAAACGCTTTCTTTTGCTGAAACTTTTGGTACATTCTAACCACTACGACACTTTTCTATGGGCGAGAATTCAAATCGAAGCACACTCTTTCAATTTTGCTTCCAGTGCCCTACAACAGCTCATAAACCCAGTAAAATTACTATAACTCGAAAGGAAAGATCGATGGGCTCGAATGATTCCAGACTTTTTCAAGTCTCAATAGAACCAAGATAATGAGAGAAGTCTCAGTTTAAAAGCGATTTATCACTTCGTGAGGTTCCCTCGTAAGAGAAGAAACAAAAATATACCATGCATTACTTCACTCATTTTTAATAGTCAACAGAACACAAGTAAAAGGATTTAATATAAACTCAAACGAAGCGATCTTATATTACTCTGCAAGAGACCAGTCGAATCCAAAGCAGGAATCAGAACAGAAAATCAATCACCAGGCATGAGAACCACGGAAACGACTAACTACATAAGAATGCGAAATTATAAAGAAGTCGACATACTTAACTGTCAACCCAACAGAAACACTAATGAGTTATGTCATCTCCAGAAGGTAATACTACTCTTTAATTCACACATTAAGGAATCGACTTCATATTAACCGTGGAACAAAATAAAGAACCGAATCGAATTGTTCGGAGGAGGAGAAAAGACGAAAATGTTGTAGGTAAAGCGAAAGCTCCTACCAAACTTGAAGAAAAATTCTCTCCTTAAACACTAATACTGAGACAAATAATCATAGTTCTTCTTGAATATTCCTTCAAGTACAAATCCTCGAATAACGTACAAATAACAATTAACAAATGGTATCTAGTGTATGACATAATCTGAACTTAATAACAAATCATATGAAACTAAATGCTGCAAATAGGAGCTGAAAATTGCGGCCAAAGAAAAACGATTTGAACTCACCAGGTAGTAAACCAATCTTTGATCCGTGCTTGAACATCGAAGGATACCATATCCATTATATACATCAAGAAAAAAAATCACCGAAATACCATATTAAAACATACATCTGAAACAAAAACAAATAAATATTATTTCAGTAAAACCAGACTTACCACTAAATAGATTGCCAAGCCTCAAACTGACAGAAGTAATAGTACATAGCGTTTATAAAACCATATAAACTCACCAATAATTAATTTATGATGCGCACCTATTTACGAAGGCGGCAACAATTATGAATATGAGGAGAATGACTTCAACTGACAAATACATAGACCTTTCGTCGAGCAACCACTATCGGAGAAGATCACCATACTTGATATCAATTCATAGAGAAAAAGAGTCGGATTGGCTCTAAGAAAATGACCTACAATATAACAAAAAAGAGCCAGCTATTGCTTTAGTTAATATCTACTTACCATTGCATATCTTCCATAATTTGAACCTAAAAAAATTAAGAAGAAAACAGCGCAGAGTATATGATAGAATCTGAACTTACCGCTCACTGGTCGACAATGTGTATCTATACATTTTGTTAATAATATTTTTCAATCCGATGTAGCAAACTCTCTTCATCAGAAGAGGAATATCTGATAGTAGATTGAATATTGGAGTGAATCGGCAGATATGGATTAAATCTAAAAAGAAATCGAATCCATTGAAAGTATAGCTACTTGAAATAAAAAAGAACAAAGTAAGCATAATTCCAACAACAGCTAACTCATCATGAGCACCTAGAACTTAAATAAGAATAAAACTAATATAGTATTTATAACGAATAGAGACTCACTAGTTATTAATTGAAGTTGAATATTCATCTATGACAAGAGAAATTTTGTCATCACAACAAAAGATCAAGAAGTGAACTTACCATTCCATGAATTATCAATCGAGGAATCAACATTAAAGCACATCGATATTCTTGAACTTGATTTAGAATATGAAGAAATTGAAACAATTTAGTTACGTTGCATCTAATAAAAGAAGAAAAAAGGTACCCTTTCATTGAAAAATGAGTCATCATCACTCATACTCAGTATTTCGAGCATAAAAATGATTAAGCCATACCGAGTCGAATTTGTAACAGGAACGAAGCTCGTAAAACCTAAAAGATAGAAGTTATTGATCCGTTAAAGAAAGGATAAGATTTGTGATTGTAGGAGAATAATTAAACTTACCAACATTTGAATACTAGATTGATAGTTGAACAATGAGTAAATCGAAATATGGGATATCAATTCATATGGAGTACAGAATGAATCGAATGATGATGTATGTAGCTAAAAGAAAAGAACAAAAACAAGCATCGTCAAAATTAAAGATAACTCATCAAGAAACATTCTCCATAGCCTGCACCCAAAAACTATATCGAGTACACAACACAATGCGAACGTGTTCGTCATTAATAGTAATTTCGTATCTGCAAGCAAAAAGTGAAAGTTGTAAATGAACGAGAAAAGTCTTTAATTAACTATATGTTTATGTCTGATCGAGAGCTGAACATCGGACAATACC